CAACGCTGGCATAAGACAACTAAATATGCGGTACAACGCAGTCACATAAAGGCATCCAGGCTTCTCAAATATTTTCAGTTGCACTGGGCGTTTATTTTCGGCAGGATGACCCGTGGGATGGAGAAAACACTGAACACAGGCACAGCACCCTACACTAGTCAGGGTATAGGAGGCAACCAGGCTCAATTAGGGATCCCCAGGACTAATACAACTGATCAGGTCACGATCGGTTGTTCTCGACCAAACCATAATGCCGCTCCCTGAAACTTTTCTTATTCGACGAATGGAAATATTGGACGCCCTAAAATGTAGCCGGTCACTAATGATAATGAAGTAAGCGCCGGTTCAGCGTTCACTGCAGCGCATCGGTGTCACTCTCCGCGCGCGTCTTCCCTTGACGCGAGGGAATCGTGGGACTCGCGTTAAAAAACAACTAATGCTACGAAGGACGCTCCCAGCTAAGCGCCCCGGTTGAATTTTGAGCATGCAGATAAAGGATCTGTTGGCCTACAGGCTACCTCGGGGCAACCTACGGAGTTGTGCGCGCGAGAGGCTCTGCGCGGAAGTCAAAAGAAGAAGGTGCGGGGTACGAGGCCACCCTAAAGCGATGAATCGGCGCTTTACAAGCATTGGGGAGGAAGTGGCCGAGTGGGCTAACGCGTCTCAGCTCGGAGCGTGGAGCGAAAGCTTCCGCTGGGAACCTCCTGGGCTCGAGTCCCCGCCGCCCCCGCCCGTTTCGATCTGGATGAGTTTCGTACCGGCACGCGTTCGTGTGATGCCTACTGCGTGATGGACGTTAAAAACCCCAGGTTAGCGGTGGTACCGCACTGGCCAAATTTCTCATTTACAGCTAAGAGACCGATTACCCGTTGAGGCGCATCTCCATCAAGGCTGTATAAACATAAAGAGCAAACCAATTTTTTACAAGCATTTCGTTAGTGGCACGATCAGTTAACGGTAAGAATCTGAGTGCAGTTTCAACTTCACTTCATACATTGACATCTCGCATTATTGATATTTGTTGCCTCGAACGTATACGTTCGAGGCAACAGTTCACCCCTATATATAGGGGTGAACTGGGTTGGAACTTTCTCGAACTTTTGTTTAAAAGTTCGAAGTTCGTTGAACTTTTGAATTTAGCAGGGTCGAAAGTTCGCAAATCGTCGAATTTCTGAGCGTAGTAAATTCAAAACTGTCGAATTTCATAGCGCGAAAAATTGGAAGGTTGAAAACAATCGGAAACCTCAGCGCAAAAAAGCCTTTGCCATCCTTTCGAAGCTTCGCAAAAAGTTCACGGAATCTCTAGTTCTAATGTCGCATACATGATGTGCTCGGATCACCGCCGCCGAAGCAAAATGGCCGTTCAGTCCGTCATTAGCCCTCACAAGTCGTAACAAATATTTTCACGCGAAGGCCTTAATGATACCACGTGGAAGAGTTTATTTACTCTGCGTATGAACTTGTAAATCGAACAGGAAATGTGCCTTCAATATAAGCGGTGAAAAATGCGCATATTATTTGTTTTTCTCGTCATTTTGTTACCTAAAGTAAATGCCTACTGATATAATATTTAGTGTGCCATCATCCATGGCACGTCTTGTGTTTAGCTTGAGTTTCTTTTTGTTCCGATCGGCTCAGTGACGTTCATGCTCAGTGTCGTTCTCCTGAACTCAACATGGAGGGTTCGAACCGCGGGCGACCCTTTGCCAAGCAGTTTTGTGAGCGTCGCTCACAGCCTCGGTATCCTTGCAACTTATAAGGTCCTCATATCTTGTCTTTTTTGTTGTTGTTATTTCTTTATTTTTTTTTTAATAAATATGTATTTCCGGGCGTTTATTTTGAAAACTCTGAATAAAACAATGTAATATTGTTACATCGTGATAAAAATCGGTGGTGGGAAGAAAAACAATGAATAAAAATAAAATGTACTTGGCGCACTCATTGTGAAATTAATAGTTTGTGCGCCTAAACACTGCTCCATGAAGTTCACATCAAATCTATATGCATTGAAATGACTAAATACACGTCCTACGGCGAAAAAGTCTCAGAGGAGCTACCAATCCATAGTGTTCCCGTTTTTACTACAGCAGTTCAGAGCATCCGGGAAGGGTGCAGAAAAAAATGTGTATCCGCTCCAAACTGCTTGTAAGAGCAGAAAGCAGACTGGCTGCTTCGTTAGTTATTTTTTTTTTGTTACCTTTTCTCCCTTCGGTTATAGTCAACTTCCCCCGATTGTGGACACGCGTATTGTACAGTCAATAATAGATAATTCACAATAGGGAGTAAGCACAATAAAGCAGAAGATTATGTCAACGTAAGCTCTAAAGCTTCAAAATCCGCGTACTACCTGGGTTCTACTCTGTTGACCCTTAAGCTGAGAGTACGGTAGAAGCGACGGGCTTGTAGAATCAATCACCCGCCTTTCTTTCCTCATCTGACTCCCCTCTCTGTGCGTGAGTATAGGCGAGAACGTGATTACGTGGCAAAGAGATGACGGTATGAGTGGTTTAACAAGCGCGTATCTTCCACCCCATTTTCAGCCTACGGCGTGAATAGGGTATCGGGAAAACAATCCGCTTAGCGTACACCGTCCGTCGGGCCAAGGCTGCGAAGAGAACCGACGAAGCGAATTTCACTCCCAGTGGTATTTCCGAACAGAGGAGGAGAGGCTGCGCACGGCTTAAATTGTTACAAAAGCGTCCTTCCTCGGGCGACGGGACCGCTTCTCAAGTGTTGAGGCGGGGTCGCCATCCTGTAAGTCAGATGTCCTTGTGAACAGAAATTTGGCGTGGGATGGCTCTTTCTTCTTCGTTTCGCTCTCTGCTACTCTGAGTACATGATTATTTGCGTCGAAGGGCCATCCGCGTCCAGAAGCTCCTAAAGTATGAAGTCTCGGCAGGGAAGTCGTGGGCATAGCTAATGACACCATAAAAAACTTAGAAACTTGGGCTAGTTCAAATAATCTAAAAATAAGTGACAATAAACCGAAAGCTCTCTTCTTTCGCCCCAAAACTAAGTATTGTGACCTTCCATGCGATATTTCGTGAACTCCTCTCCTGTCGAACTAGTAAGTTCCTTTAAAACATTGGGGGTGTTATTTTCGAAGTACATATGTCGTAGATCAAACACGTCGACATAGATCGTAGACCGAAAACGTCGAACGACACCGGCAAGTTTCTAAACTCGCTTGTGTCGTTAACACAAGGCGTGGTTAGACACTTGGTAGCACTCCATTTGATGTCGAACATGTAAAAACTTCCTGGGCCTACATATTCACATAGTTGTCTCGATATTATTTAAAGGGGAGGGAGAAAGAGGGGTGTATCTATGTGTGTGTGTGGGGAGGGGGGAGGGGGGAGGGGGGAGGCGCCCTACCAAGTCTGAATTACCCGGCTTCCATATCAGGGGTGACAGTGGCAACGGCCATTGACGGTGGTGATAATGTGTGTGTACGTGTTAGGCGAGTCGAGAGCGTTTTTCTGGCCCCTCATCGCATTGTTTACTTCGAATTTTTGCAATTTTTATAGGAGGAGAGGGGCGGGCTATCGAACCCGTCCCTTCTCCCTCTGTTCAAACGCCACCCCAAGGTACATAACGTTTTTTTTTTTCAATATCATATTCATATGTTACGTTCAGTCGTCACAATACAGGATTGTTGTTAGCTCTTTAGTCGGACTAGCCGTTACCCTTTTATAGGCTTCACAAGGCATATTAGCTGTTAGCTGTTTGCAAGCATAAGGAAGGGGTTTGCTTTGTTTCTGTCCCGTAGGAAAGTAGGTTGAGGACAATGTAACCCTAAAGGTCGCAAAAAAGCGTTGTGTCTTGTTTTTCTTTCTTTTCTTTACAGCAAACTGCTTTTCATCCTGGAAGAAAAACAATTAGGCAAACTCGCGTCTTAGTTTTGGATAACTGACCGCGTATCAGAAAGTTTTCTTCAACTTCAGCGGTCGCAACTGTAAAATTCAGATGTAAAACTTTCTTTTTATGTGCGAATGTTTTTTTTGTTTTTTTTCCCCCTTAGAAGCTAATTACGAGTTTTGATTGTTTACTTCCATCCAGAAGAATGAAATGTGAATAGAATAAATGCTAAAATTTTGTGCTCATGGAAACTACGTAGTGGTCATCAGGACATCACAATTTGTAGCGCGTGATAAAGGGGGCAAAGCTAGTTCTTTTAATGTTGAGACGTGAATCTGATAAGCTCATATAATATTCACAGCGAAGGCCTAAAAATCCGCTTTGAAATTGTAACGATTATAAATTTCCTAACCTGAACATGAATAAAACAGCGTTAAGCGATTAATAAGTTATCCGATGAATCCACGTTCAGTAGAATCTTTAGTACCCCTCTAACAAGAACGTTATTCATTGGCCTCTTTATGCAGTATAATAGCACCGACATTACTAGTGTTCTCTATACAAAACACATGCTTAGTTTGCAAAGCTTTCGGAGTCGGATATTTCAAGTGCGGCCCCTGAAAATCTGAGTAAGAAGGTCTTGCGTTTTAGTTGCAAATCCAGGTTACATGCGTAAGCATATACGCATATATTCGGAAACAACCATACTGCATCTTGATCTTCAGACCGATACACTCGAAAGTCAATGTTGTTATGATATGTTTGAAGTTTTGTGTTGTTAGGCACGCATTATTTGCCTTTAAATTAGGAAAATATAAGTTTGTCAGAGCTGACGGACCTATATCAAATAAAAGTAATATTCTTTTTCAACATCAGCAAAAAAAAAAAAAAAATCCCTGCCAGAAACAGTAAGCGGCTGGTTGCTTAGAACACCTTCTTTTTGAAGCGATGTGCTCCTGTGCCCGACGGCTGGACCGCACGACCAGCCGACCCAGTTGACCACCGCCCACCCCACCCGCAAACTTCTCTCTCAATTCGAGGGGAGAAGGAAGGGGAAGACGAAGGGTGCCTAGCGGCGATCATCGGCTCAGCGCGTCCGACCCCGCTTCCCGCTTCTTCGCTTGTAGTTACTTGTAGTCCGCTCATCGCGCCATCTGGGAGTTCCTGGGGGAACTAAAGCAAATGTCTCCCAATCCTGGCCTCTCTAACGTTGTTAACAATGCATTCTTAATGTCAACACCGCGAGTGGTTTCCTTGAGGGCAACCATGTCCAGAAGCTCTTCTCTCACGCTTTCGTCGGATGAGACATAACGGACGAAGATTGCAAGCTGTGGCTTGTCTTGTATATCCGTAGATTCATCAAGGGCTAAGCTGAATGCTTTGCAGCTGTTTAGGCCCTCTTGAAGCTTGTCGACGACGTCGGCGCTTAGCTGTGAAATGCGCCTTTCGACCGAATGTCGTGAAACTGGGACTTGGTTCACCAACCTTTGAAGATTCTTGTTGTTTGGATCCAACAATGCCACGACGTCGGAGATGTTAGTCTTCACAAATTCTCCTTCCGAGTAAGCTCGCTTGGTACGAGCAATGTTCCACGCGATTGCAAAGCTTGCTTCGGCTGCTTCGTCAGATTCCTTGGTGAAGGTCTTCATCAAGCACTGCTGATTCTGAAGTCGCGATTTGAGCTGGGCCAGTTTGACTTTTCTCAAATCAGATGAAGCTGGATAGTCCCGAGAAAAGGTTTTGTGATTGGTCTCATAATGCCGTCTAACATTGCTTGCCTTGTGGTGCGAAATTGCTGCATTGCAGATGAGGCAGAGGGGCTTACCGTTTTTCTCAGTGAAGGCGAAATATTCCTCCCACTCAAGAAGGAATGTCCGATGTTCATCTTCGTACTTGCGTTTCTTGTTGGTAGCCATTGCGACGACGTCCGCAGAGCCTCGTCACAACTTCGCCAAGGGTGGTTAGACGTGGGCAAAAGTTAACTTCTTGTCTCGACAGAGCAGGTAGAACACCGTAGAGGCAGCTGGAAAAATGATGACCTCCTCGCATGAAATGCAGACAGTCATTTAGAACTTTTTTTATCATCCGTATGCACATGACTGCTTTTCCAATCGAAGCACGACCTTGATACAGCAAACGTTTTGCCCTTCCATACAAGTGTTTTAGACACGCCTTCACTAACCGCTGGCTAGTCACCCCCTTCTCCCCCTCCCCGAAAGTAGAACAAAGCAGCCTGCGGGTTACAACTGTAAACCGGTAAAAATAATGAGAATGTTCTCGGTCCTTTGTGAACTTGAACATAACACCCGTGACTAGTGGAAGCTATGAATGAGGTCAACCCGGGCTTCCGCGACCCTCAACAATAAACGATATGGGCGAAGATCCATTATCTCAAGGGGGCAAGTATCACCGGCAAGTAACAAAGGCCGCGAGACAGAACATTTCCTCGACCCCAAGCCAAAGTGCATGCATCGTTTGACAATCCCAGTCGCTGATGCATTTCCCCCTAGGGTCCAGCAAACGCTCTCAAACAATGAAAGGAACAGGATCTGAGGAAAGATACGAGTGAAATGCGGTTCGACCGTACCTATGGTGGCACAAAGCTGCCAAAGTGCAAGCTAGCTGTTTTTTTTTTTTTTATTCTGAAACATTTTCTTTTTTTCCTGGGAAAGGAGGAAAAAATGTCCTTCTTTCCCCAGGTAAGAAAGAAGGAAAGTGGCGGGAGGGCGGGCGGGCCGGCCGGGGGGGGGGGGGGGGGGGGTACCCTTATGAGGGATCCGCGAGCCGCACTTGGACCAGCAAAGAGCCGCATGCGGCTCGCGAGCCGCGGTTTGGCCACCCCTGTTCTAGACGGTGGTTTTGAAAGCGCAAAAGACTAAGAAGAGAAGGAGGGGACAGGCAGAGCGCTCCTTCTCTTCTCAGTCTTTTGCGCTTTCAAAACCACCGTCTAGATGTTCAACCAACTAGCCCCCCAATTAACTCTGATGATCATTCTGAATGGCGTTTGGCCGAGGTGAGAGATGTGTATATCCTGGAAGATAATATTAATAGAAAAAAAAACGAAAAAGAAAGGCGTTCAGTGCTTACTTCAAGGCTGCCGCGGAACCGGTTTTGGACAGGAAGTCGACGTTGTCAACGATCTCTTTAATATTGATGAGCTGAAACCTGTTTAAAATAAGTCTAGGAAAACTAAATCTCAAACATTACCTTTCTTTGAGCTGAAAAGTTGCATTTAAAAAAGAAGAAAAAAGTAAAGAAACCAAGAACAAATTTACGGTAGGAAAAAACTAAAATTAAGGGCGTAAAAAACAATGGTGAGAAGGATACGGGCAGTTCGAATGCTTCACTCTCGTCTGTCGAGCCCATGCGCTCTAAGGGCTCATTCACACTGGAAGCGGATCCGCGTTCGCAAAGCGGTTGCGAACGCGGTTGTATAAGGATTCAGTACAATTGCACGCGCACTTGATGACATCAAATGCGCGTGCAATTGCACTGGATCTTTATACAACCGCTTTCGCAACCGCTTCGCGAACACGGATCCGCTTCCAGTGTGAATGGGGGGTAAAGGCGGGAAGAACCTTGCGAAAGAACTATGCGTGAATCAAGCATATTTTAAAATGCAAAAAAAAAAAAAGAATTCTACGGCTTTTTTTTTTAACGAACCCAATTTTTTGATTGATATTTATTGCACAGAAGTTTCACACACGAAATTAAGAATGACGCATCTTATTTATTTCAAGGAAACACTATAGTTTAAAAAAAAAAATATCATAAACCAATTTTCACACGTTCCGAATTTTGTACGATTATGGTTAATTTTTTGTACATCTGTACATGCGCGAAAAACAAACTAGCATTTACTCTCGCACCATGCTCTGAAAAACAAACAGCGCCTAGAGGATATTCAGCGCGCATAAATTGTGCATGTTTTCAACGATGGCATATGCACGATTCACGCACAGTGGATACCACCTTGTTTTCTTAAAAAGGTGTAACTTAAAACAATTCTCTCAGCGTTCCGAATTTCGTGCACTGTTCGGTTGGGTTTGTTGCTAGCGATGTCCAAGCCTTCAGAATATTAATCACTGAGGTCTAAGTGGGGTAAACGACGGTTCCCTACCGAAACGTTTCGACTTAGAGACGACATTGCAGGGTCCCGTAGGGACCCTGCAACGTCATATTGATAGTTACATTGCAGACTTCGTGTTTCACCAAAAACTTTTCTTTTTTCCGTTGTTCTGCTCAATTCATTCGTTAATGACAGGACCCGGTGTCACGGGCACTTCGCGAACTAGGGTTTGGTTTTCGTATTCTACTATAATTATTTTTTCAAGCGTGGCGTTCTTGTGTCGGTTTCTATTTGGAAAGTTAAGTTTCCGATGTTCCGGTGATTATATACTTATATAACTTTTTCCGAGATTTTTTCAGTGATATGTCGGTATCTCTATTTAACCAAAAACCTTATAAAGTATTCCCTTTGCTTGTCGTTTTATCGGCATTGGGCGCATATTGAAACAAATGGTTGCGTTTGGCACCGTGCTGTACCCTAGTCCTACCCAGCATAAAATAGGACGATCCCGAAGATAGCTGTCGAGTCAATAACGAAGTGAGTCACAATGTCACCCCTCCTATTGTTGTTTGTGAGTGGAACAACCACAAAAAAAAATAACACACACACACACACACAAAAGTTAAGTAATTACGCTCAGTTACTCCGAAATACTGATTTTTTTGTTTAAACCCGAATTCCGAGAAATGAATTCGGCATGCGCTTACGGGCTTCCCTCAATGATTAAAACCGAACACTTGGAACGATACCACTACTACAGGAAGCAGCACTATGGTCGTTCATTTGTTGTGGAGTCGCGTAACGCACTTGATTTTTTTTTTCTTTTGGATCAGTGGCCCATCAAGTAGATTGTGCCACCCAGAGACCTTTCACGTCCCTGGCTTGCTCAAAGTATCAGAGTTGCTTGGGCGACCGCCCCGTCGCACACTCAAATCCTCTCCCTAGACGAAAAAGTAATCCAATCATAGGAAAGATTCCGATTCCCATCTCGAACATTAAAATTACCACGCAAATGCGACCAAACGAAGACAAATAAGAGCGCATGCGCTCTGGAGGAGGATGAACGATCGGTGTCGTCACTTTTCTTAACCAAGGCTTTGTGCGACGCTTTAGCAATCTTGAGTCACGCTCGTAACCCGAGAACAGGGGTCTCCAAACTGTTTTGGCTAAGGGACCGGATGGCGGGAATATGTCGCAGTCTCCAGGTCCGGAAAATAAATAAGCAAATATAAACGAGGAAAAACTAAATACATAATCTTAGGTAAGCATATACACGCAAAATTAGGAGATAAATAGTAATAATACAAGAAAAAGATTCTAAGGTGGATGAAAATATGTACTTTATCTCGAAAACCAATATCTAGAAAAATTATGACATTACACATAATGGGACCCAGAAGACTCAACATGAATAAATGAAAGCGCGTAAGAACATTGGCATATACACGCAGGACGGAAGGCTAAAGAAAATAATAAGAAATGCCGAGCATTTGCGATAGACGCGGCACAGTACACACAATATACACTTGAACGCGAGGGAATTTTAGCATACCGTTAGCGCCGTTAGTTACCCAGATATGGAACTATGGAACTATTATTATACAAATTAGAGCACATGAATTTTGACACGACTATCCTAAATTGGATAAAAGCATATTTGTCATCACGTCTTCAGCGTGTTGTTTTAAATGGTAAAACTTCAAATACTGTTATGGTAACATCTGGTGTACCACAGGGGTCCGTTTTGGGTCCATTGTTGTTTCTGATATTTGTTAGTGATATTAATGACGGTGTTAATTCACAGGTACGATTGTTTGCCGATGATTGTGTTGTTTATACATGCATAACAGACGAGGGAAGTTCCACGCGGCTGCAGTGTGATCTGAATCGAATAGAGCAATGGTGTAAAAAGTGGAAGATGGAGTTAAACGTTAAAAAATGTGCCCATGTTAGTTTTACCCGCAAAACCAAAACAAAAGTTGAAACATGTTACCAACTGAATAATGAAACCGTAACAAAACAGCAAACAGTTAAATATCTTGGCGTCACTCTGTCAGCTGACTGCACCTGGAACGCACACATTAACGACGTTGTTATGAGGGCCGGCAGAGCGCTTGGTTTTTTAAAACGAAATTTAAGAAAATCAACTAAATCTATCAAAGAGCTCGCCTATCTATCTTATGTGCGCCCAGTGCTAGAGTACGCCTGCACCGTTTGGGATCCTTCTCAGCAAAACCACATTGATGCTTTAGAAAGAATTCAGAGTTGTGCCGCTCGTTTCGTTTTGGTGCGGTACGGCCGCTTTGAGAGTGTAACCGACATGATAAAAGAACTGGGATGGTCTACATTGGCACTAAGACGAAGAAATTTGCGCTTGAAGTTTTTATACAACATTTATAACAATAAAACTGGCATTAATAGCTCATTTTACTTATTACCACCAAATTATATCTCAAAAAGAAAAGACCACATTCATAAGATTAGAGAATACCGCACCAGGACGGAATTGGGCAAAAATTCTTTTTTTGTTAAAACAATTAAGGAGTGGAATGCCTTGCCCAGTGCGATTGTGTGTGCCGCGAATTCAGAAATGTTTTTTCAGAGTTTATTCGCCCCCTGCGATAACGCCTGATGGCGCTGCAGGACAATGATGAATAAAACAGGGAACTAAGCAGATTAATGCTGGTTTCGACGATGTCCAATGAATAATAATATGAGAGGACAGGCGATGGCAGTTTTCCCTCCTTTTTTTTCTGGTACCTTCGTTTACTCGTTTGCTACATGTTGCGGCGTTTTCTTTTTTTTACTCGCGTGACTGGTCTAGCGAGTGACTGCAAACGCATGGAG